CGCGCCGCCCCCTGGCGCTGCGCAGCCCCCCAGGTGAGTGGGGGGTCTTGGGAGGATTCTGGGGGGATCCCAGACCTCCATCTCACCCCCACCACCCAAAAATCACCCCTAGGCCCCCCCGCCGTGAGCCGGGGGAGGTGGCTCAGTGCCTGCGGCAGCTGGAGAGGATCCAGGAGCTGGAGCAGCAGGTGAGGGGACCCCCAAAATCCCCCCTGAGACCCCCAAATCCCTCCCCCCCAAAAAAACCTCCTCCACCACAGTGTCCCCACAGTGTCCCCACAAATTCCCTCCTCCGTGTCCCCCCCACACTGTCCCCAAACCCCCCAAGCCATCCCAACCCTTTCCTGCCCCTGCAATGTCACCAGTGTCACCTCGTGCCCCACATGTCCACCCAATGTCCCCAGTGTCCCCAATGTCCCCAAATCCCTCAATGTCCCTCAATGTCTGCCCAATGCCATTGTCCCCAATGTCCCCCATGTCCCCAAGTCCCCAGTACCCCCAAGTCCTTCAATGCCCCCACATGTCCCCCAAGACTCCAGTGTCCCCAATGTCCCCAAGCCCGCACCCCCATTCTGGGGGTCCCCCCAACTCCTCCTCCCCAGCAGAGACCCCCCTCCCCCACTCTCCATCACCACCACTGGGGACACCCCAATTTCCCCTTCCCAACACCCCAAAATGTTACCACTACACAGGTGGGACCCCCAAATCTGTCCCCTGGGACCCCAATGCTGCCCTGGACTCCCCAAAAAAAGGGGGAGACCCCAAATTCTCCCAGCCCCTCTCCAACCATGCCCCCCTACTCACAACACCTCAGAGACCCCCACCTCCTCCCTAACACCCTGAAAACCCCCAGACTCCCCCCAAATCCCTCAGGGAATGTGGGGGAGGCTCTGTCCAGCCCCCCGATTTTGGGGTGTCCCCCCCCCAGAACGCCGTGCGCCACAACCTGAGCCTGCACAAGTGCTTCGTGCGGGTGGAGGCCGCCCGCGGCGCCGTCTGGACCGTGGACGAGGCCGAGTTCCGGCGCAAGCGGGGCCAGCGCTACCCCAGGTACCCCAAAAACCCCTGCCCGGACACCCCAAAACTCCCCCAAGCGCCCCAAAACCCCGCGGGGTGCGTGACTCCCCCAAAGCCCCCCGCTAACCCCGCGCTGCTCTCTGACCTCCGCAGGGACTGTGAGCTCAAGTACTTTATGCCCCACCGGAGCTGATGGGAACCCCAAAACCACCTCAAGACCCCCCCAAAACCACCCCAAGACCCCCCCTCTCCCAGGAGGAACACGACACCCCCAAATCCTCCCCACCACGAGCAACACGACACCCCCAAACTGCTGCAGCGGGATTTATTGAGACCATAAAGGAACGGTTCTCCCCTCCGCTGTGGGGGCACTTTGGGGGGGCTACAGGGACACCCCCACACCCCGCTGAGGTTTGGGGGGGTTTTGGGGTGCGGATCCCCCCCGGTTTTGGGGTCAGGCGTGGCGGGCACGGGCGGCCAGCAGCGCGTTCTCCTCCCGCAGCGCGCGGCAGTCGCTGAGAATCCGCTCCAGGCTGGCCGGGAGCTTGGCGCTCGTCTCGCCCTCGATCTGGGGGGGTCCAGAATGAGGGGGGGGA